ATCTAAACCTCCCCTCTTTCAGCTTAAACCCATTTCCCCTTGTTTTGTCATTAACTGCCCTTAGTCATTTATGATGTTTCCGCATCAGCAGGAGCACAGGCACTACTGACCCAATAACTGGGTCACAAGACTTAGGGAGGATGCTGGAAACACCCTTCAGAGCTAAACCTCCCCTGGTTTGGCCTGGCCATCACTCAGCTGCTGTTCTAGGAACCCAACAGTCAGTGCAGGTTTTAGCAGCCATGTGACTGCAGCATTGCTCTGGTTTTTGGAGAGCAACCTGAGGCAATCTCAGCTCATTCTCTCCTAATGTGGCTGCTCAGCCAGAAGAAAGTGTATTACTGTATCCCTCGGAGGGAAAAGCACTTTGCCTGGTGTTCTGCAATGCGGGAAGGTGAGAGGCTGCTCAGGCTCGAGGTGGATTTGGTATCCACGAGGAACATCATGTTTTCTGTAGGAGGGGAGAAAGCTCTCAGAACAAGGGGCAGGATGTGCTGGAGTCCTGCCAATTGTATGGTGGGTAAATCAGAGAAGGCAAGAAAAGGAGCATCACTGAAACTGAACACCCCCTTCAAACATGAACTGATATTCATAACACCCCTATGGCAGGCAGGGATCACACCCTTTTTAGACTGAAGAAATCAGAGCCAACAATACCTAGAGCTCAGCTGGGAGCAAGTTTCCTCTCTAACATCACCATGGTGGCTAATAGGATCAAGAGATGCAGAGCTGCACCTGAGTTGGTGTTTGCAAGTCACTCAAGCTGCCAACATATGGTGCTGCTTTCACAGGGGTCCAGGGCTGAGCCTGAACAGATGTATATTGGCAAAGAAACTGCTCACAGTCCTTAGGCCAAGAAATCCAGTAGCAAGCAGAGTATGAGCAGGCTATTTTCAGACATCACTGGAGAGCAGTCAAACCCCCAGGGTTTAGGGCAGCCAGAGGTAAAGGAAGGGACTATGATCCACGTTTGGAGAGGAGGATGGGAAGAGAAATCTGACTATATAAACCCCACTGTGCAATTACAGAAGCAGGGCTGTCTGCCTTGAGGACAAGCATTTCTGAACAAATGTTCATAAACTTTCCCTCAAAGCCTAACATAGGCTACAAGTTCAGACTATGAGACAGTCAAATGTTTCCCCAGGACAGTGTTGCAGTGACAAGAGGCAGGTGTCAATCTTGCCCTATTTAATGTTCTCATCTGTAAAATGGGGTAGTGTTTCATAGAATCATAGAATGGTTTGGGTTGGAAGGGACCTTAAAGATCATCCAGTTCCAACCCCCCTGCCAGCAGCAGGGACACCTTCCACTAGACCAGGTTGCTCAAAACCTCATCCAACCTGGCCGAGAACACTTCCAGGGAGGAGCAGCCACAGCTTCTCTGGCCAACCTGGGACACTGCATCACCATCCTCACACCAAAGAATTTCTTCCTTATATCTAATCTAAACCTCCCCTCTTTCAGTTTAAACCCATTTCCCCTTGTTCTGTCATTAACTGCCCTTATGAAAAGTCCTTCCCCAGCTTTCTTGTAGCCCCTTCAGGTATTGGAAGGCCACTATAAGATTTCCATGGAGATCTCTCTTCCTACCTCCTAAAAAGTCAGGTGAAGATTCATTAATGTTTGTACCAATATTGTGTTAATACTAAAAGGCGGAGATTTATCAGCCTCCTTTTAACCTTTGCACATCTTCAGTATGTGTAAATATATAAATGCTTGAAGATGTTGGTCATTTTATTCACATGTCAAACCAAAATATGAAAGGGTTGCATGTCTTTGCACAAGTACAACTCCACTGCCCTCAGTGGAAAAATATCAGTCTACAACTGGATTAAACTTCATCTCATATTTCTGGCTAGCCCACATCTAGACGTTGACACCTAATAATGGCCACTCAATTTCATACACACTCATACAAGGAAGCTGGGGAGGAACTTTTAATAAGGGCAGTTAATGACAAAACAAGGGGAAATGGCTCTAAACTGGAAGAGGGGAGGTTTAGATTAGATATAAGGAAGAAATTCTTTGGTGTGAGGATGGTGATACAGTGTCCCAGGTTGGCCAGAGAAGCTGTAGCTGTTCCTCCCTGGAAGTGTTGAAGGCCAGGCTGGATGAGGCTTTGAGCAACCTGGTCTAGTGGAAGGTGTCCCTGCTGATGGCAGGGGGGTTGGAACTGGAAGAGCTTTAAGGTCCCTTCCAACCCAAACCATTCTAGGACTCTATATTTATAAGGATACCCCTGAAATGCTGAAGACTCAGTTCAGCACTGAACGTCACCTGCTGGAGCAAGCAAGGCGTCAGAAGGTTCATCTGCCACCAGACACTCCTAAAAGCAGCACTTCTATTTCTCTTCATTACAGAAGTGAGTGTATTTATATTAAAATATCACTTTTTTGTTCCCATGTCACAGTCCCTGCTTGCCCTACCTGGTCACAAAAATGGCTTGAATCCTTAATGGTACAAAGGTCCTGCTAATTAAGTGAGTGAAGTTGCTGCTTCAAACTAATGGGTATGAGTTTTCCAATAGCAAGCAGTTCCAGTTAAAGTTAACATGCCATCAATTCAATTTAGGCTTTATTTAGAAATGAGGTACTCAGATGCCACTTTATTTTTTTTTATAATTTTTTTAAAGTTATACCCTCAGATTATATCTTCCTTCATCAAGCTACTAGTCTTTGCTTCATAAAATACTGATCTTAAGGGGTATACCCTCAACCAAGGAGACCAGCCTGACCATGGGGGAGCTAAGACCATTTACATCAAGTGACAAGCAAGGCACATATGTCATTAATATAGGATTAGTAGTTCAAAGACTGAGAAATGCTCTACCCTAATCAAACCTGGCCCAGGCTGAGGACAGCAACCAATTGCACAGAAGAGCTAGTTCAGCTGTCAGATATGCCACAGCATAACCCAAAAATAAAAGGCAGCAGAGGAGCACTGTACAAGACTCATGAACTGAAGGCAAGGACTGTTAAAGACACTAGAATCACAGAAGTTTGTGAGTTGAAAGGGACCCACAAGGATCATGGAGTCCAACTCTTGCCCTAGCACAGGACAATCCCAACATTCACACCATGTCCCTGAGGGCCTTGGCCAAATGCTGCTGGAATCTTGTCAAGCTTGGTGCCATGAGCACCTCCCTGGGGAGCCTGTTCCAGTGCTCCACCACCCTCTGCCTCAAGAACCTTTTCCTCATGACCAACCTCACCCTCCCCTGCCACATCTTCCTGCCATTCCCTCTGCTCCTGGCATTCGTTGGTGGCCAGAGAGAAGAGATCAGCTCCTGCCCCTCCTCTTCCCCTTGGGAGGAAGTTCTAGACCGTGATGAGATCTCCTCTCAGTCTCCTCTTCTCCAGGCTGAACAAACCAAGTGACTTCAGCCTCCACGATAGAGAGATACAATGAATTCTTCTCAGAAAAACACCACTAATATGGGTACCCACATAACAACACGGCACTTAAAAGTAACCAAGTCACTTTACATCACGGTATTGTGGAAGGCAAACGTGGGGATGCATTAATTTTCTCTCCACATTTTAGACACAGTAAGAAGCTCTGCTCACTTTACATCTAACATTTCAATGTGATCATCCACACTCCAGAGCTACAGAATATCAAGATGTGGAACAATCTCTGACTTCATAGTTAAGTAGATGCTACTTATTCAGGGCTTGTTTTGCAGAGCCCAAGGATCTGTCACTCCCTGGGGAATTCAGTTGGCATCACAGGTGCTCAGCTTACATTTATGCTTCCCCATTAGATCTGCCCACAGTTTTGGCACACAGTCACAATGCAATGTCTTCAGTGAGGGATCTCAAAATGGGAATGTCAAAACATTTCATCTTATTAAGATTTTGAGAAATCAACATAGCAGGACCTGGAATTTAATACAGGGTCAGGGGGGTAATAAATAAATAAATAAACAAACAAACAAACAAATAAGTAGAAGACATACTTAATTTTTCCAAGATCTCTTCATCTGACATTTTTGGCTTTTTCTTTTGTTTCTCTGTGTTCCTGGCCAGCATGTCAGGCACCGTTGTGCTGTTTTCCGAGGGAGAAGAAATAGGAGAGGTCGCCGCATCTCTGGTAGGAGGAGGAAGGGGTTCTATCACAGAGCGGGTGTATATCTAATTTTGTTGAGGAAAAACACATGTATTAATACACATCAGATGAAGATTTAAACATTTCTATTCACCTTGTTATTGTTCTTGTTGTTGTCAGGGATGCATTTCTACAGCTCCTTTGTTAACAGCTAACGTCACTAAGCAAGGTCCCTCTTGTGCTCCCCACAACTGGGTGGATGTTAATTTGAATTCGCAGGGGGGTTGGAACTAGATGATCTTTAAGGTCCCTTCCAATCCTAACCATTCTATGCAGGTGCTCTTCCAGAAGGAATGGCTCCCACCTCCACCCTCCTGATCCCAAGAAGGGCTCAGCACCACATCATGCAGCGTGGATGAGGAGTCACAGCCAAAGACCAAGACTGTGACTGAAGCGGTGGGGACTGAAGGAAATATTTCTACTCACAGATTTTGTGTGTTCAGGTCGTGGAGCTATCACAGGGGGTGGAGCTGCATCATCTTCATCATCTTCATCTTCAGACACTGAGGGCACTGCGGGAGTCTCGGAGACAGCCTTCACATTCTGCAGGTGGTTATAGAAATAGTAAAAATAAAAACCCAATCTCTTGTTAGAAACAAAACCATCGACACTGGATTGAGCTCCTAACAGAGACTGCATTGAAATCAGTGCAGGACAATCAAAATCAGAACAGAGTAGGGAGTTACAATATCTGGAAAATCTGAACTCCAAAGATCCTGATGCTTCAGGGGAAATAGAGGGGTAGTCCAGCACTGCCTGATGCAACTGTTCAGATAGAGCTTGTCATCTATCTGTGTGATGACAATCCTTATCAAAATCTTAATGTTTGCTCTAAAAGATGGGAGGTCAAGTTAACATCAGCTTTAGTATTGTGACTGAGAAGTAAATGAGAGATTTTGAAAGTAGAATCTGGTAAAATATTTTCAAATCCTTTATAAAATTGCTTTCTAAAAGAAAATTTTATGAAAAATGCAAACAATGACTTTTTTTTAAAAAAAAAAAAAGTTTTATAAGTGGTTAAAAAAATTATCTGGAATTTTTTGCAATATTGCAATTAGAAATCAAAGCCACTTTTAGGCTTTCAAATTTGAAACTGGATTTGAAATTCATGGCATCTTTTACACTATAAACATTCCAAAATAAACTTGGCAAGATCCTCAACCCACCAAACTGGTTCTGCTTGTGTATCATCAGTTCCCTAAGAGCTGCAGGGGAAAAAGTATTAAAATGAAGTTCTCTGTAAGAGGGGGAAAATGATGTAATATTTCACTGAACTGAAAATATTTGAAGCCACCAGCATTCTGACATATCATTGCTAAAGTGCACTGACATAACACAAAAGCTCAGCCTGTTAAAAACAAGAAGAAAACACACCTATGTACTGGGAATTCCCTGAATATCCCCAAAATTGAAGGTTACCCAGTATCTTCTAAAAACATCAGGCCATCTCAGTAGACTGGTAACTATTGCTTTTTTCAGGATTTACTTTAAAATCCAACAGTCTCAGATATTCTGAACTCCTGAGGATGGAGGTACAATGATACATAATAATGAACAACAGCAGAAGCATTCTCATTTTCTTTTTGCAGAGAGTCCTAAACAGTCAGATCTGAATATGCTGCCTCTGGAAAGGAGCAGAAAAAGCCAACTGTAGATAATGGCATGGCAGTGAGAAATCAAGAGATGAAGGAGATGTGGGTTTTTAGGAATCATCTTAAATGGAAAGTTTTGTTTCTTCCATCTCACAGGCACATACAGGATTGTTACAGAGGTTTTCAGCTTGTGTCTCCTCACAAAGCAAACAGGAGTGGTGTCTGCTCTGGTAAGGACAGAGTAAAGGTCAAGCAGAGAGGAGGAGGAGGAGAACCTTTTATTTCCTTTTCTGCTGGAGATTAGTTTGGTTAATCAACACTAATCAGCGTTACTTTTAGTCACTCAGACCTTGCAGGTTAGTAATTAAACTTTGTTAGATCGCAGATGTTTATGGAGACATATAAAACCTGAAAGCAGAGCAGTCATCAAATTCAAGGTACAGGAACAGATCAAGTTCTATGAAAACAGAACTATTGCTATTCCTTAATTCCTTAATTTCTATTCACTACTTCACTATTCACTAATCAAAGTTTCTTCTCTCTACTTGATTCTCCCTTCCCCAGCTGAAAAAAAGAAGAGAGCAGCATGCTTTTTTAGGATAATTTTCCTGTTTTTATAAATACATTCACGATATAAATATATATAGTTCAGATTTTAAAACACTGAGCAAACTAAAAGTTTACTAAAAGCCAACACTGCTTTATGCAATTTTTTAAACCCCCAAACTTGAGATAGAATGTGAATATAAGTCTTACCAATGTATTTGATGAATTATAATCCTCCGTTGTTTTATCTGAAAGAGACAGGGATGCCATTATAAATGAGTTGTAAGCACAACAGCAATGGGGAGAGGAGAAAGGGACAAGGTCCCTTCAGAAGGCTTTGAGCAACCTGGTCTAGTGGAAGGTGTCCCTGCTGATGGCAGGGCGGTTGGAACTGGGTGATCTTTAAGGTCCCTTCCAATCCAAACCATTCTATGATACAAGGCTGCTCCCAAACCTAAGCATTACCTTCAGCTCCCCAGAATAAGGTGATATCTGGCAGATAGGGGAATAAGGGGTAAAAAATTCTGCAGGCAAATGCAAGGACCCCAAATCCCTGCTGCAGGAGGGTGGAATTTCCCAGAGCAATACCTGGATGAATACTGTCCTCCATCTATATACACAAAATAGTTTCAATGGGCTAAATCACCAGCAGAGGCACTGCAGTCAGCCCAAGACCTGCAAGATGTTCAGTCTCAGCCACCTAAAATTTCCTGGAACAGCAACAGAGGACCCCACGAGACAACTAGTGGGCTTCTTGTCTGAATATCCAGGCACATATGGGGAAGATTTGTGCTGTTATCCCTGCCTGGAGCCTTCTTAATTAATACCAGTTCTGGTGACATGGCTCTATCCTCTTGAAAGAAACAAAGCAGGGGTTAATATTTAGAAAGGGAAGGAGTTAGAGTTGAAAGGGAAAAGGAGTGATGGTAGCAGGAGTCTTCCAACAGGCAGGTGATCCATACAAAGAAGGCACAAAACCTTGGCAGCTTTGATTTTTAGAGGAATCCCACCAGCAGTTTTCAACCATTAAGCAGCTGAGCAGTATTCCTCAATCACAGCGCACAGGAGCAGAGAGACCCCCACCCCCAAGCACTCATGAAGCAACATTCACACCCACACTGGAAACTAAAAATGCCTCTTTCTCCAGGGATTTTCAGCACTGTGAACTCAACACCAACACTCTGAGATCTGCCTTCCAGATGTTGGTTGTACCTGTGAAACTCATGTACTTCTGGCTATTTGAGATCTTCTTTGAGTTGTAAAACTCCAACACATCCAGCACTGCCTGAGGGTTCTTCTTCTGCTCTGACTTGGTGATGTTGGAAGTCTGCAGTAAACGCGCCCATTGCTCCGGCATTCCCTGTTTGGAGATGTACCTCGTTAGCTCACACTTGGTCTAACATGGTGGACCACACACACACACCCACCAACTATTCTGCCACAGCTTCTGGGGTTACACAGGGCTGTGAGGGAAATGGGGAGATTTGAAAGAGGCAGTGGATTGATACCTTCCTACCCACTGCTTATGTTACAAGTCACAGGCTCCTTGCACAGACATGCAAATGTCACTCTGCTCACAAGGCTCTGGGTGAGTCCCATGTCCTTTGCAAACCAAGACTCAAAACCCAGAAAGAAGAAAACTGAAATGTTCAGGAAGAGCCTCAAGAAATAAAAATAAAAATAAAAAAAACAACAACAAAAAAACCCACAAAAACAAACAAACAAACCATGATATAAGTGTTGGCACATCCCAGCAGCCCAGGCTGCCAGCAAACTTTTCCTTTCCTGTTTTTTTTTGGCTGATGTGAACAGGAAAACATGGTATATCTCTCCTCCCTTTCCCTCTCCTCCTCTTCTAGAGTGTCTGTATCAGGAATAGTGTGGCCAGTAGGAGCAGGGAAGTTCTCTTCCCCCTGCACTGGGCACTGGTGAGGCCGCAGCTGGAGTGCTGGGTTCAGTGTTGGGCCCCTGAGTCCAAGAAGGACATGGAGGTGCTGGAGCGTGTCCAGAGAAGGGAACGGAGCTGGGGAAGGGTCTGGAGCACAAGTGTGCTGAGTTCCCTTGTGTCTGAGGGAACTGGGGTTGTTGAGCCTGGAGAAAAGGAGGCTGAGGGGAGACCTTGTGTCTCTGTGCAAGTCCCTTGGAGGAGGGTGGAGAGAGGTGGGGGTGGGTCTGTTCAACCAAGGA